CGTTTTAACCATTTGTAGTGAATCATGTGCCACAGAAGTATTAATAATATATTCTCATTTTTGTACGTGAGGGACGCCAGTTTACAGGCACCATCAATATGGTAAATTACATATACGATTAGTAAGCATATTTAATAATAATAATAATTTAATAAAATACATATTTTTCCTACCTGTGTAGGACATGGCAATTGTACAGGCATGGACAAGTATTATTTACATTACATAAGTTTGGTTTATGATTAAATTACATGGTTGCAGTCGTTTTTGTCTTGGGTTTGTGGAAGCAATATGATCACTAGTCATTCAATGGAGCACATCAAGAAATATAGAAATATTGTCTTCGCACTAACAAAAAACCCAAGTATGTTTTGGATGGATTGCAAATACTTGGGAAGGAAATAAAGCTTAAAGTCATTCCTCCATATAACTTTGGTGTACTGCATCGAGTCTTATTCTTGGTTTATATCCAAATTTGATAATAATTTAAAATAAGTGATACACTTGTATAGTTTTGTCAGCATTTTCATCGTAACATCACAAATGAATTGTACACAATGTAGACTAATAATAATGATAGTTCTTATTTTCTTATAAACGGGTGTTTTCAAGAAATGCAAGCTATTTTCACAGACACGATCAGTTATGTTGTAAATTACAATCGTGAAGTATTATAAATCAATACTTTTTTATTGGCATAAAGTTATATTCCACAACCGTAATCCAGGGTGCTCCGTGGGTGAAGGTAATGCGTAATTCACGAGGCACTTGTAAGATATGGGAGCAATAATGTTTGCAGATCGTTTGTCATTGTAAATGGTCAAATATCCACATTCTTCATTCTCATTCAAAAAGTTAAATGGAAGCTGAAATGGTGAGAGACAAAAGAAGACAAACAACAACAAAGCAAAAGAAAGCAAGTGAAGTACTTAGGGAGTGATTAATATGTATATATACATTTATATTCTGTTTAGCAACTATGGTTATTCTGGTGCACTAACTGACTAGTCCCGTTATGCCAATTATTATATTATGTGTGAACTAATATTATTGTCCTGTGTAGAAATGTCTGTCATGTACTTCAAACAATATTAAAATGTATAATTGTAGTTTCTTGTAACTACACGTTTAATGAACTTAAAATATCTATGTAGGGTGAAAAAGAGGGTATAAGAGTCAGACGCAGAAGTGAATTGTCATCTTTGAGCAGTCTGGTGACTGAGGAGATGAACCCTGCGAGTGTGTTTGCTTCGCGCACATCAGCTGGTAGTCTATTCCAAATGACTGAAAACTTATTTAAGAAGGAGTTGTACCGCATGTAAGTTCGACAATGCTCTATAGCAGCTAGGTCACTATGATTTCTAAAATTGTAACTGATGACAGCGGTAGGTTTAGTTATTGGCTCAGAGGAGTGCAAGAGAAGATTAGTTAGCTCGTAGTAAAAATTAGGTTTGGCTTAAGACGTCTTTTCCAGAGTGGTTGTAATCTTAGTCTGTCACTACGCTCATAGGATTCAAGACCACTTTCTAAACCAAGAGTTCTTAAGGTAAATTGCCGTTGCACTCCCTCTAATTTAAGCTTGTCATTCTGTCTCAATCCGCTAAGAATAAACGGACAGTATTCTAAAATAGGTCGGACACGTGCTGTGTAAAATAAAACCCTAGTTTCACAACAAAAGAAATTGCGAGTTGTGCAACCTAGGTTCCTTGTTTTTCGTAATTATGAAGTCTTCATGAGACGAATAAATGAGCTGATGGAGTTGTGGCAACAGTAGTATTATTTCGCTTATACTGAATTATGCCAACAATTACTTTCTCAGGTCTCATTGATAAGTCAGGCCTCCATCTCGTCATGATGACAAATTTAGTTTTACTCAGATAGAATAAGAAAAGTCTGCCAAGCCGGATGTTAAATATTTTTTATGAAAAATGATAACAAGCAAATGTCGTTACGCAATCGTTCATCAAAATTATTCCGGCAATGTTGAATCGCTGTGGCCAGTTTGACTGACGTTACCGGACATCTGCAAATAAGTAAATAAAGCGTATTTTTTAAATCGCTGAAATTAGAAAAAAAGCAATGTAAATGTTAAACGCTTTATATTTGCCTACCTTCGCTGAAAAATGCTCATTGTTCTTTCTCACTCTTCGGTCATGGCTGCATTCTTCACTGTTACACACATTGTTCATCTTTTTAAATTGTAGCACCTAGCAAATAATAAAAATTTAATATGTCGTATAAACTGGTGTTTACAAGGAATGCATGCCAATTCTACAGGCGCAATAACTTATGTTATAAATTGCAATCGTGATGTATCATAAATTAATACTTTTTCAAAAGTCTGAATTGTTCAACTACTGTAGAAGCAATTAGAACAGGTCATCATGAATGTTAAACTGTAGACCCTTCACAACGAACACTATATATTTGGGTAGGCACTATGCCCTCACGTAATTAAAAGCTATTTCAGGAGGAGAACAACGTCCTAAGGAACTGCAAAATGTCATAAAATACAACTATCGATAATGCGTCCACCTACAAGATATATACGGCAAGTGGCTATGTAGTCCTTGGAATGGTAGTATATATTTGCAATGTTTAGTGCTAACCATGTTGGTGTAAGCATGGAATCTATGACATTTTCGATGAAAATACAGCTTTGTTCAAACACTGGTGTTGTTGTTTTTCTAATCAAAGCAAATAATAGGCACAAAGTATGAGTCTCAGCTTTAATAAAGGCCTATCCAGTTAAGATAAAATGGAGAGTAATAGTGCGTGAATAAAAATATTATCGTTGGGTAGATAAGTGATATTTCAATGACAGGAGAATTGAAATATCTGCAAGCTTATAATTTGTAAGACAACCTGACATGTTAGATCTCTCACGAATTTCTGAAGGGCCCATGGGTTAGCATTGGTTTTGACGTCATTCTGAATTTGGAAAGATAATTTACAAATGCACAAGGTAATAATCATCGGCACTGCAGTAATATTTTTTAGCTATTCGGAGTTTTTTCCTTTGGTGCAATTTCTTATCAACAGCATGCAGTATTCATAGTGAGTTCATAGTAAACTTTATTCTATGATCATTTTCATCAACGATCCCTTCACACACAATAGCATGCAGTAACTACATGCACTCAAGCATTGTAACCTGAACATCACAAAATCCCTACGGATAACTTGTTTAATAATAAATGCTTTAAAGATATGAGCCATAAGTGCACCTTCAACATCCACAAGTAATTCAATAAGGATCTCAGAATATCTTAGTGATCTGAAAATGAATGATAATTACGACTGATATAACTTAAGTAACAGGTGTAGTAGTTGTAGGACACAACTGCTAGCTACTATTCGACGAAAAACTGATACTAATTTTAAGCAGTCTGACATTTTAGAAGGACCATCTATACTACTCTTCTTATCCCAATCCACACTGATATCAACATAATATGTCATGTTATGCACTGAGCAATTACGGTCTTCCGAAATTCCATGTAACAATGTAAATTAAACTAGTACCACATCTTCACCTGAACAGTTTTAACTAGGAACTTCATCGCAATGGATATGATCATCGGAAAATTCAGCAGCTTGTCTCATTCATCGCATGATCTTTTGGAGGCTGACGGCATCAACGTTCGCAAATTGCACGGAGTATACTGACGCAAGATCTTATACCAACAACTTCTATAGTATTTGTTTCTCGTGTACCAAAGACAAAGCAAAAGGCCAGATTGATCGTCCAAAGTATGAGATATATTTCGAGACCAAATCGCGGGCTGAAGTGAATGCTTAGCTGGCTAATGATCGTGCACGCACGTGACACGACGGAGTTCAAGATGGCATGGATGCTTGACCGGAAGTCTTCAGCTAAACAAGCCGACTTAAACAGTGAGGGTCAGCATCCAATGTTGAGTGATGATTGCTGTGGTCAATAATTTTGGGGAATTATTTACCGCTGCAATCTCTTCGATGTGTTATGGATTATTTCAGCCACCACGGATGATAATAAGTGTTAAGCATCCTTAGAAGATATATCTTACTTATGTCTGTGGGCTATTACTCTTCCAAATGCCCGATTCTTATAGAATAACTGCTATGAAAACAACAATTACCTGTAGTCAATTTACAACCTTAAGATCTAAAATAACTCGCAAATAATAAAGCTTTAGTGCTCTAAAACGCAAATGATAGTTTTTCTACGCGAAATTTCTTATAAAGGATTTGTTTTAGTATTAATTCGTCTGGGATATCTAGACAATTTTACCCTATTAATACCAATACAATGCAGGAAAATATGTCTTTTTTCGGTTACAGAAGCTTAACACCAGTCAAATGCAATATATTTTCACAAAACTGAACGATTATGACGTCTATATAGGCGTGAACGCGATAACTCATGCAGTGCGCGAAAAATATCACGATAACGTCAATCTTCACCCGAAGAAAAAACACGTCGTATTCAAGGAGCGCGCGACAATATCATTGACCTAAACCGTAACTTTATCTTTCCCAAACCTAAGTTGAAACTTACCATATATCCAATTTATTAACCTTACACTTCGATGGGCATATTTTATTGATGATTAAAACATTACTTGCCAGGTTTCACTAACTCGATCTGTGATTGTATCAACGTCATTGGTTCTGTCGCACTGCACTGGCAGTTACTGATGCTTAGCCAGTAATTGGTTTAAAATGAAGACTCCTATGAGAAGTTCGGGTATTTCCTTAGATCCTGTGTAACCATTTTTAAAATTGCATTATACGTGTTGAGACGTTTATTTCAAATTACGCACACCTACTCATAACACATCTGATTGGTCGGCAGAAACTTGTCAAGGTCAATATCAGTTAGTTTCGTTATAATCTGATCTAAATTTGTTCTAGTCAAGAGGGGTTAAGATGGTTAGGTGATGACTGACTGCACATATGCGTTCACTGGAAACCAAGTTCAAAGGGGGCAGTGCTCTCACATCATAAGTTGGATACTCGGCCAAGTTAAACTTTAGACATCAATGACTACCAATCAGCGAACGACGTCGAATTATCCAATGAGATTCACGAACTCAGTTGAATGTTGTATAGCGCTTGATTCATTTCAATGCGTGCCCTTACAAGGTTGCGTTTGCAATTCGAGGGGGATAGTGTCTTTCAGTATTGCCTGGAATTAGGCTTGCTTCTAAAGGAGAGAAGTTGTTCGTGTGGTGGTGTAATGAGTTTAAAAAGCTTTACTAGGTCAACTGATGGTTTTGCACATCGTTGTGGAATATTCTGGAAGCGAGTTAGTATCAGAGGGTAATATTTCGTAGGTCGAAACTGAATCCTTATGCATTCCTTACGCACAAGAGTTGTGAAAAACCAGTGAAGCACGGTGCCTCGGTTATGTACCTTTTTGATTACCTAACTTTGTGTCACACTTTGAAAGTGTGGCTGTTGATATGCTTCTTTATACAATAATAAATGTGAACCTTACACCTCATTCAATATTTTTCTTCTTACAGGATATATCTCAGCCACAACAGCAAAGCACATATCAAATAATGTTGACATTTAGGTCACCTACCAACCAAGGCATATTATTTGGTGGTTGCAGTGAATATGATTTGCGACAGTCTTTGTAGTTTTCCATAACGAGTTATTGAAGCATTATGCGTGTGAAGTATCTATGTCCTTTGCGTCTGGTTGCTCTTTTGTTAATCGCAGGTGCCCTTATTATATTATGGGAACAACGGTATCTTTCTTGTTACTCTAAATTCGCCAGGTATGTGTGTATATTAAATAGAAAGAATTCTTCGGAAAGCCTGACATGTGACCATGAACCTGAAAGTCAACAAGCAGTCTGCGGGAAACAGAACGACAGGTAGTGGAAGTTCCAGATATTATTGGTCATTTAGATGGAATCGTAGTACTAATGAGATCTATCGTAACTGCATACAGTCCATACAATGTATTGTTAACGGAGTTCCGACACCTAATTGCTACTTAACTCGAGAAAAAGACGTACTTGTTTCCTTTGAGGTAGTTCGTACCCATTTAAAGGTTCGTTTAACACTTTTATTGTCTTAATTATTCATTCTGTGTGGACAGATAAATTTCCATGAATATCTAGGTACTTTTTCATGCTATCAGGATCTTATTATAATGTTATGTATTGAAACAGTATACAGTAGTCTAACATTTATTTCTTTAATATAAGGGATATGGATTATATTAATGTGAAAACTCAGTTGAAAATAGAGTCTATTTTCATGTTAGATGTTTTGATTCGATCGTGTGCATAGTGGCGCAGTTCTTTTTCCCGTAATCATATCGTTAGTGTGTACAACTGACGTTTTTCATTACAGTCCTTTTATTAAGCGAGTGACATTCAGATAACAATATCTGATACACTTGATACCACAGATGGCGATCAAGAAAGCTAGTAAAATAGCATGGTGATATATGCCACTTATTGCTATACGCAACTGAGAAGCAGTTATGCCAAGTAGTAGCACTTGCCAGTCAAGCAGTCAGTGGTACATACTGCCATGACGCTTCAGTCGAAGGACTTTTATAGTTTTGTCTGTATTAGTAGACAGCTGGTTATGGTGAACTCTCACCGTACCAAAATAGCAACTTCGTTTCCCAATTTCATTTTTACGTGCTCGTAACCGATTTCCTGAACACTGAAACATTTTCATAACAAAGGTATTACTGTGACCTAATACTTTCGCTTATTTGCTGTATTTCTTGCATGTTTCGTCACTTCAGTTTGATTTATTTGTGAAATATTTTAAGCCAAACACTTGTTTGTCTGTTTGTTGTATCTAGCGTTTTATTTGCAGAGAATGAATTCAGAGGTGTATGAAATGTCTTATGCGAATATGAAAGTGATTTTGGATTTTCATTTGCAGAAGTGATTTGGCCAAGAACTAGATTCAAATTTACCGGTGCTTTTCACTGCATCCCTTATAAATGCTCTTCATAGTATATTAGTCATCTGAAGTGACAAGTAATTCCTGGCATCAAAAGGCTACACCGTTATGAAAGGAAGTTGTCTGTCAGGATGAAAGGCTTAAAAAATAGATTGTCTGAAGTTAGGACTATTTGTTTGTTACGTAATGTCTAGGGATTGAGAAAGTGGTTTTATTTAGTCACAACTGGACCTGCCGGAGAAGATTTTCCATATACCAGGCTGTAAGCCACAAGTACTGTGTGAGGATTAGTGATACTACCCAGTTGTCCGTACTGAGGTAGTACTAGTGGAGTCCGAATTGGAGACCTGCTAACTGCAAGTCAAGTAATCAGGCTGATAAGCTAATAAGAGACCAACTCTGTGGTCGCAAGGTTTCCCTGTCCTGGGTTAAGTCGTAACGATGTCTATGAGTATAAACTGCCGGGAAATCCTGTTCCATATTAAAGTGATATCGAATTACGTGTATATATTCTACCTGAGATTAATCATATTCATTTTTCAGGTCTTTGGTTCTCTCGATATGTCATCCAACACATTCTATTTGAATCATGCTAATGTTGAAGTCCCAAAGGTGCATTTGTATAAACATAACCCCAGGGGTGTATATATGCAGTACAACAAACTGAGTGTAGAGAAAAGACTCCATGTGAAGCTGGTCACTGCTGATGAAGGTACTCTATTCTCTATTTTATCATTGGTGCAGTTTGTTAATTACGATATTTTCTCACCTCCCTAACATGTTTTTGTTAGTTCTGTGAAATCTATCAGATATGGCTTGTAGGTAGAATTTTCTATGATTATGACAGCGCATGTGAAATTCTTCAAATGAGATCATTCGTCTGTCTGATAACTGTAATTGTAACTTAGTCTTAATGCAAAGTCTACTGAGGCAAATATGCCAATTAACTCAAATGCACCACGTGAACGTCTTATCTCCATTCATTTCAATAGTTGTTAAACTAGTGGAAGCTGTCCTTCAATGGGAATTGAGATATGTCTGAATATTCCCCTAGAAGTGTATGTATATTGTACGTTGATTCTTCAGTCATGTAGACATACTAAGGATTCACTTAAAAAAGATGGACCGTCCAGATATAGGAATTTGAATACCTCTATTTCTCAAATAATCACCAGAGTAATGAGTCACTAAAGGCAACAGAAATGCACCAAATGCTTGAAAGTAAATTGACTGATTAGATAATGCCACTTTTTCGATTACTATATTCATTATTATGCTCTGTTCTTGTTTTCATGACTATATGACATTTTATATTCTTAGAGAAATTTATCGGAAAACAGTTACCACAAGTCAGTGATCATTAATATGGCTGAGGTTATATTGAATAATACGAGTATTGTTTAGATGAGACACATAGTTGGATAAACATTTATCTATAGTTCTCATATGTGAATAGATTTTTACGTTTTAGTTTTTTCTTATAAATTTACTTTTTAGTTACGCATGGGTTTGTTCTTCATGTATTAGCCGTTAAAAGTTTTTCTGAGTGAATAGTCCCAGAACAAGGAATGAACTGATGGTACAGAAAGCTGTCGGACTGTGTTTGCATTCATGTATTCCATGTATATTTGATCCTCCGTATCTCAAAACAGTCTGTCATGTCCCCTAAATAGTGTCTGACTAATTTTAAAATAGTGTTGATTATATCACGTGATATAACTGCTAACTCTTGTAGTTTTTGAGTGCACATAGTGTAGTGTTTTGATAAGATACTACCCGAAGATGTGTTTATCAGGTTAGACTTTATATGTACATAATTACAAAGGCCAAGCAAAAAAGCTGTTTCATATCCTCCTTTACTTACTACTTTTACCTTAACTTATTCACCTCTATGTTTATAATCGTCAGTTTCCCATCGTATGGAGGTAGCCCAATCAACAACATTTTTTTTCAGGGGAAATAACCATTGAGTCATGAAAAAAAGACAAATTCAGCGAAGAAAATTTTTTTATTGACGAAATCATCTTCAGAGGCTGTACAGTCGTATTTATATTTACCAAAAATGTATAGTAGTCTATTATTGAGTAACAGGGAGTGACATAATTGATATAATTACTCAGAAGTGACTTTAGAAGTAAAAAATAAAAGTTGTAAATTACGAGGTACTCAACTCACTGTCACCCCCCCCATTACTACCATACATTTTTGGTAAATATAAATACGACTATACAGCCTCTGAAGATGATTTCATCAATAAAGAAAAATTTTCTTCTCATTATAATAATTTTAAGTGCTTGTGACAAAATTATCTTGACTTCTGATTTTCGGGTAGTTTCAAGGATCGGATCAGTGTACTAGTTATGAGTAGATACATGAAACATGGTTAACCAGTTTACAATGACTTAGCGTAGTGAGTGTGTTATAGAAGATTCAATTGGATATCAGTAAATGCAAAACTGTAGATGTTTTTTTTTTCCAAAAATCTCAATTATCCAGAACAGATTTTTTGTGTACCAGGTAGAGCCACAATAATACTGGAAGGCCTGATGACACTAGCCAGATGCTCAAACTGAAGTAGATGGGGTGAGACTCGTACTCCTGACGCACCATCTGAAAACCAAATGCTAAAGCCAATGAGCCACATCGCCACTGTAGATGTTTACATATATATGATTCATAGTATAACCGCACACTCCTTTTTCGTTTAATCCACTCAATTATTTTTATTCTTCATGTAAATCTATTGTTATTATTATTATTATTATCGTTATTCATATTTAAAGCAGACATTGTTAAGAAATTTATTCATGGACTTTCAAAGAGTTATTTCATGTAACGAAAATCAAAAATTGTATTATTTCAGGTGTACCAATTAGTAGTCAGTGGGACCACCGTGGTTACCCCTATCCAATTCAAATTGCTCAGTTTGGTTTGAATCACTTTAGCCAGTTAATAACATCTTACAAAAGCGGCATCAAAGATGTACAAAATACTTCATCCTCGATGAATGAAATTATGGATTTGGATCTTACTATCTCTGGTAATAATGTTCTTCATCACTGGACTAACAGAAAACGTTTGGACAAACCGAATAATTCGCTTATGTTGTCAGGTTTGTAAATCTGAATAGAGTTGTTTATCAATTCGTATTCCATAATTCATGTACCTTCCTTTTAACGTGCAAAGTCCCTTCCAGATGAGTAATTATTACTCCAATATTCCTATAAAAGTGACATACGTTAAACATAAATTCAGATAGCCCACAACCTCATTGTATATGTCTCCTAAATGGCCTATACCTTTGAATCTCCTATCATTAAATGAGATTAATAAGGCTGTTTAAGGTGAGAAACTAGAGAAATGCATCAAAGTCTGACAATCCTACTCCAAAGTTATTTAGGGATAGTGGTGAAAAATTATGTGCTAGATTCTGTTTTCTATGATCTGAGCGTTAAGTGGAGCTGGTGAAGAAGAGATGAATGAAACTATGCTAATACTTGGTCCAGACGACTGACAGTAAACGACACGTTGCTAGGTCATTCAAAAGACTGCCCGACTGACTGGTTTCAACTTATAACTTTGTGTAGATGTGCAGCAGTTCGAGTTGTCACACTTCATTTAACACACGAAGCAGGAAAAGGGAGTAAAGATAGATACAGAAGAGAGATGGTAAACAGAAATATGAGGCACAAAGAGTAGTAATGTGGAAGGACAATATAATTTTATTGGATATTATAAATCAAAAAGAGTAATTGCATCTGCACTATCGTCGAGAGCGATCTTGAGCTATATTATCAATTGTCTGCAGCCTTCAGGAAGTCTACACCTACGTACGTAGCTCAAACTAGGTGTTGTGGGTTTCATTGATGGATGCCATATTTTTGTTTGACCACCACTAGCTCTTTCCCAGCCTGATCCTATGTCAGCTAACACTACTCGTCGAGGAAGGTGATCGATGGTTAGGCATGTGCAATACATGTCCTAACCATCTCAATCGATGTAACTTCATAGTCTCGTCGATTGATTTCCCCTCCTTACCTAGTACTCGAAGACCAACCTTAATATTGCTCACCCTATTACACCACCTAACACTGGAGATAGCACTCAGATACCTGTGATCAAAGACAGCTAGCTTTTTCGTATCTTCAAATTTCAATTAACATGTTTCACTTACAGCCATAAGGGAGGACGGAGCGAATTGCTGAGCAGTACATACGCCCTTTGGTCGACAGCCAGTCGGATATCAGGTTTACGTCAGAGATGGCGTATGCCAAACGAGCCTCTTGTATCTGTGCTGAGATTTCGTTAGCAATCTATCCGTTGGGATTGATGCAACTCCCCAAATAAGTGAAGTGGTCAGCACGCCCTACGACTTCCCCATCTATTAGGAGTCAATGTAGTCCAATCCTGAGCACCATCTTATATTTGACGGCAGCAAATCTCATGTCAAAAATTCGTAGATTGCAGCTCAAGGTATCCAGAAGACTGAATTTTTTCAGCATCTTCACCTAGAAGGACTATATTGTCTGCATATTCTAAGTCAACGAGATTATTTCTTGATCGCAACAAGTCAGTCCATTAGTCACTGAAGTCAGTTAGGGCTAAGTCCATCAGTAGTACATCTATGATGAAATTAAACAGAAATGGGGAGAGTGGGCATCTCTGATGGACTCCACTGGTTGTCACCAACTCAGATGACAACCCTCCGCGGGCTCTCACTCGACTAGCTGCATGAGTTCGAGTAGAATGCCGTGATCAGTGCGATGTATTTTCTCGGCATTCTTTTCACTGCCAAACATCACCATAGTACGTCTCGGTCGACGAAATCAAATGCCGCTTTCAGGTCAAGAAGTATGACGATTTTTGGACGCCGCCCGTAAGTATGCCTTTGTTCCAGAATCTGTCGAAGGGTGAGTATATCATCAGTGCACTCTCTTCTTGGTCTAAATCGTGCTTGGTTCTCTCGAGTTTGTTCCTCCCGAGCACCACTTATTCTATTCACGATTATCGAGCCTAGAATTTAGGCACCATATTGTTCAAGCTAAATCCCCTTGCGATTATCACAGGAAGATTTGTCTCTTTTCTTGTGTTCTTTCCAACGTTCCAGTCATCTATCCTGAGAGCTAATTATGCTGCCACTTTTCTCGGCAATTCTTTCACTTATCATTTGCCTTTTGCAACTTGCTTCCCTGATGAGTCTAAATAGTTGTGTGGTGTTACCTATCGCCTATGCCTTCTCCACCTCTTTCGCTTTTGTCGCCTTCCACTATTCGCCATCGTTATGAAAATTTTTTTGTTAGTTCAAAAGAGATAGAACATTTATTCTCATGTATTTGATTAGCTTAGTAACATGTCGTCTACTTTTAGTCACAATGCGTCGAAAGAACCCTTATTCTCTAACCTGCTGTAGAACATAGACATTCTTCCCGGCACCTGACAATGGCCATATCTCACCACCAGGGAGTGGCACTGTATCTGTTGAGGTGTGGTGTTTGGTCTTATAAGGAGCATCTTATTAGAACATTTTCTATCTCTACTTACACGCATATCGCCTTATAAGAGTTTGTCAAAGTTTGTTGTGTGACAATTGTAGTGACAATTCCGGATGCCTGATTTTATCATGTCGTTATAAAAGTACTGATAAGGTAATTCGTGAATATTTAATTGATTTACTGTACTTAGAGTATGTGGTTTTGTTAATGTGATAATCATGATGCACTGTTCTGAATGTCTTGATTGAAATAGAGTTTGCACTTGTTAAGTGTGAAATAGTGTTAAAAAAGTGTTCTGCACCAACTCTTAGTTTAAAGATAGGAAGTGAAATGGTCAATGCGTTGTATCAGCTGTTGTGGGAAGTGTATCAGTGTAATGTAAAGGGGACAAATTGGGCGTGTTGGATATTTACCGGCTTGAATCAGTTCTGTCGCCGACATACTATCTGGTTGTTTTTCAGAGTCATAACACAGCAGTTCGCTTCATCTTACTTTATGACTGTAAGATACGACGACGGCTGCAAAATGCATTGAAAGGCCTAGCACCGCTCCTATATTTGAGAACTACAGTGATTAGTGTTGAAAGTAATTGTGATTATAGGTAAGTAGGGTAAAATAGGTGAAACAGTAGGTGAGAAACGTCTTACGTCGCATGCATTTTATTTGCCAGATTTCAGACAACGCTTACTTTATTCAGTCCTGTGGTATGTAAGTATTATTTAGGAGTCTGCCAATAGGTTTTGTTGACCAATAAATGTGGAATTCTCTGGAATTCATGACTGTCTGACCTTTTGAATAGTCGTGAATGATGGCTTTTAGAGGCGGCAGAGATACAAATGGTGTTTGTATCCGTATGGTTACGTGTAGCTGTTGTTCATCAGGCATTTTCATGTTGATTTCCTTTCATGTATCTATCAGTAACTTCTGTTTTAGGTGGTATTATGCTTAGCACTATTGTTGGATAGTTACATGTGTTCCATATATATTTTATTGTAGCGAGAAATGTAGACTCTAATAGTCGAAGCCTTTCTATCACCCCAAAGCTTAAAGATTGGGATTATTTTATTATGGTTGGTCGTCAGTGGACCTATGGGAGTTTTGTCAAACTATTGGTGCAGTGGTATCCTCCAAAAACAGCTGATTATCACTATAATCATCGTCCCAGAAGGAGTTCGATTATATATAACTGTTCACAATCACCCGCTGGACGTGTATGTTTATATAGTTCCCGTAATAATATTATGCCTTTTACATAGATTAAACAATAGTCACCGCCATTATGAAAGATATCCTTAAACACACAATTGCAATGATTTTTACTTGGATGAAATTTAAATGTGACTTATCAGTCAGATTTAGCTTTGAGTTCATGAAGTCAAGTAATTTTGCATATCCTTCCTTGGTGTACAGGTTTATTTATTTATTTTTTTCCAGTTAGTTGAGGAAAGGCATGTTTCGTGAAAGTGTAGTAATTTGGTTTACTGTTACTGCACAGGATATTTGCAAAGTGTTTGATTCAATGGTATTTGAAACAGTCTCCTACCTTGCTTTTATTTAATTGCAGTCTAAAGTCTCAGTGGACAATTCAGTCGCCTAGACAAAAGTAGGTACAGCATGAATCAAAATCATGACTCATTGAAGTAATGCTCGCCACTTAAGTCAGTGAGCCATATATATATATATATATATCATCCCTGTTACACATTAATACACTCAAATTATAACCAATATAATTGCTAAGCCACATCAGGTTTGTGCGTATAATAACCCGATGATAAGTCTTAGAAGAGTGTGTGATAGAGTGACTGTAAAATTAATTGTTTTTACCCCATTATACTGAAAATGTCCGAGTCTTACTGTATCTTGCACGATGAAACACTCAGAAAGATCATTTAGCGCTTCGACGAACCGTATTATATATGTTTCAGACATTTTTAAAGTCTCATGTTTTGTCGTGTAGTGTATCTACATCTTATCGTAAACAATACAGTTACATCCTGCATGATATTCTAACTATACAATTCACTGTTGACACGCATTTTCATACACTTTGTTAAAGGTCGACTGGACACTTACCAGCCAGATGTATTTATGCTTAGATTCCATTAGGACAACGTTTCATTTTGTTATTATTCATTAGGATGAACAAAAAGACACTACATCGAATAATAATGGAAGGATATAGTTGGAAGACATCATTAATAGGAAAGAGTGTTTATTGCTTAATATTGTTTTCGATAGCACATAAAACAAGGAAAATGCGGCATCATTATTACTGGTTTCAATTCTGCTCCATATCTCTGGGAACTTTTTAAGCCTCGGAGTATAGTGATTTTCTGGAGCTAATTGAGGAAGTCACGATATAACAACACCAGTAATCTTTTCTTCTCAGTCTTTCATGTCATCACCTCCACGTCTTTATCCATCTCATTCTAGATTTGGAATCCAGTAAGATATCGGTGACTATATGATTTTCACTTTGGGTTATCAGGCAGGCACCGTCGGATCTCAGAAATATCTACGCAGCTTTGACACCGAATGCAAGCCATTTTATCGTTGGCTTGTGAAGCTAAATGTAGACACAGGCTCCTTTCATTCTTCCAACATTATTTTTGGACGGGGCTAAACGCACTTCAGGCTTACAAATACTGGTTGTCGACTGATTCAATGAGATATGTTCAGACAGTATGTTGGTGTATAGTAAGGTGATATGAGGTGCATAGTAAAAATCAAATAGTCTTTCCGTAATAGTTCTGTTATTGGCTCTATCTAGAATAACACTAAAAACTCTAGAATTAAGTCAAACTACATAAGGCAATAAAATATCAATCTTATCTATGCGGGATTGTGGTAGAGTTATCTCAGAAAGTGAACCTACTCCAAAAATGTCATTTGTTTGTTAACTTAAATATGTTATTGTGTTGAGATGTAACAGTCAGTTTTACAGGACCTATTTTTTGTCTTTCAGGCAACATATACTTCTATCTCTTCCAGTGGAAATACAGTCATATTTTGGATGCCGGAATGTGAAAAGTTAGCCAAATTATATGGATCAGTTGAGAGTGTAAAATTAGCACGAGATGTTTACACAGATTTGGTAAAAGTATTCTTTCCATTTTGGAAGTTCTCCGAACACGTTGACTCAAATGTCAAAAAATCTCGTCAGAATAATAATACCAGTTATCCTTTGTAAGCATTTCTATCATAATTTATTTATTAATTATCTTTGCAAATGATGCAGTGGTCTGGTGATATTAGATAGTTGGAGGCAGTGGTCTCTTTTTAAATCCTGTCTATTCCATTAAATACTTTATGTTTGTTTTATCGTTGTAACAGTTTTTTGTATTCTGGGAATATGCAAATGTGAGCGGAGCTGTAAGAATCGTTGTCACTGGATTTGCCTCACATTTTCCCCAGCTGCATAAAAGTTATTACTTTCTAACTTGTAAACCCCACAGACACTTAGTAATGGACCACATGGTCAGAGGACAACATAAAGATATCCAACAGTCCGCCAGTCAATATCGATAACTTAAAAAAGTGAGAAATTCGAATCGAGTTATTAAACATGAGTAGGGAATTTATGAAATTAGGTTCATCGATCTGGTTTTGGAGTTCTGATCATTCACGTAAGTTGTTAGTCAGGTGGATATGAACATAATGTGAAAAGAATATGAAGTTGAGGGGGAACGGGTGGGCTTTATCCCGATTTACTGTCTATCTTATTGCCTCCCCGATGTATTTTAGCAATTGTATGAAAATTAGTGAATACAAATTCAGACGACTTAAAATGAGTATTCATCTACTTCTGTGTGCACTTGTCAGCACTTCATTTTTATATAACAGGACTGGGCGTAATGTGAGGAATGGGATGTTACATACAGTTTGAAATGTTAATTGAATTTCTTTGTTATCTGGTCTCCTTATATTATTGATGATCGGATAAAAATCTATTTTTTATTTCTATCCACCAGGTCTTAGAAGCAAGTTTGACTTTTACATTTCATAGTGGATTAAGTGTTCTACGCCTTCGTTTAGCCTTTAGTTCTATCTTTGGATAAAAAAGAACCAGCTGGGGATAGAAGTTTGCTTCATTGATTTCGGTGTTCAGATTTTTGTTCACATTTTCACTTCAATTATCTGTCCATAGCTAACCCATCAAGTTAGGGACATGGTTATTGGACCACAATTGAATGCTATCGGCACATACATTCACTAGGTGTATTCAGTCAAGATATTCCTCATGCTGCAATAATCAAATCGTTAAGTAGGTAGATTCCTGCTTGTTTTGCCTAGTTGAAGCATATCAGGCAAGCGGTAAGATGGTGAATGGGACTTACCTAAATGGTGGATAATAGCTATCTGTTATCATGCAATCTTTTCATGGGTTGGAAGTGACCAACTACATTTGTCTACATCATGACAAATTTGTTCTGGTTACATGTCTCGGATACGGCTACTAAACAGATGGGATCAATTATTCGCTTTATAATGGATCGACTAAGCTTCTCCTGAAACGTCATATGACTGAAATTTCTGTCTTCCGAGTTCAGTCTAGTCCCACTCATTTCAAATGTGATTTCGTATCCAACTTTTTTTTCCAGGAGTTCACCAATTTCCTTTCATTTATCTACTACTCCTGTCAATTTGATGTGTTTGTATATATAAATTGTCGATGTTGCTTATCAGGTACCCTTTTTAAGTAAAATTGTGAGGTGTCAATGAATATGAGGTTGTGAAGTACCACCGATACTTTCATACGCGACCACCCTTCTCCGCTACAGGTAATGCTAGTTGATATGGGATTGGTTTAAAACAGAGTTAGGGCTGATTAAAGTAGATATTACACCAGTCCACAGCACAATTAACTGTTGGATTCAGTTACTTAGAGACTGTTGCTAATACCGAAGACAGCGGTAATTTTTGGCTATGTTTTGGTAAGAGTGTCTAATTCACTTGTTTGTCATGTACAATTTTTTTAGTCATGTACAAGTTCTGGAGATAAATGTCTACATCAATTCGAATAATACAACTTCTGACGTAATGATAGAGAAGCTACGTCTTGGTAAAGCAGTGAATTCACAAACAATATTATCTGATGCAAGCAAGAGGGAAATGGGATCAACTGAAAAGCTATTACATGAAATACGCTTTATTTCGGCTGCTGACTGGTTCATCCATCATCAAGATAAAAATGGTGCATGGTCAGTTAATGTTCGACGTTCTTTGAAAGGGAGGGGAACTTTACAGCCTGGTTGGTATTCTGCTATGGGCCAAGGTATTTAAGTATTTTGTTTATTTGCTTTTAATAGTTTCTTCTCTGGGTTTTCAAGCCGGCTTTATATACGATGTCAGTATCAAATCGTCGTACCAGTAGTGCATATAACCAGCTTACCACCTGGCTGTATTTGCTTAATATATCTTGGTTATATGCATAAACATGCATATCACTGAACTAGTGCTTACACACATACTATAACTTCATGGTCAGACTCGCTGGTCGTACTGGCTTAATCAGCTATGAATTTACTTGCAGACTTTACTGTTCCAAAAATATCGATTAGATAGTGGTAAGACTAATAGAATTTATCATTATAGTGTATGTTGTCCATATTATTATGCAGGTTTGAGGGTGAATCATGCTGCTAACGAATAGGCGTATAGGAGCAGCAGAGTGATCACCAAGCCAGCTATGTTGCCTTTCAATATGGTAAGAAAGGATCAGAAAAAGTTGATCCCTAAAATTTAGCATCCTAACCTATTCCAGGGTGGTCCATAGTCGTCGGTATGAACGAAACTGCAAAACCCTCACTTCCTCTGAAGTGACCAGACCAAATCACTCACTCAAATGAGAAGTCGATATCCGCACTGGATAGCAGGGGAGTGGGAACTGTGTATACACCTTCATTGGCGCACAACTGTGTTCTTTACCTTCATCAATAGCTATGTTAATGCTACCAGCTACTCAGTATTATTTTTATATGTAGAAAATCAATTTATAAACAGTGTTCTGCTTGTTTGCAGCTGACTGAATGAAAGATATTTTTCAGTGTATGAACATGTGAGTTATGGGCCAAGTATTATGTGTATTCAACCACCAGCCACCGTTGCATGCTACCTTTGGTTTTTTATCTACACAATCTTTAGGCTAGATAGATTCCTGTATCGTATACCTGCCGATTGGAAAAAACAACAACTTAAATCTTTGCAAGAACTGTGAGTGGATCCATGCTCCTGTCTTCGTGAAGCAAAGTATTAACTTGAATCTTTGTGGAGGGACTAAAAGTTGCTCTAGATAAAAAATTCTAACTGGAATAAGTAGGATTCAGGAAAAGCAAATTATGTGTGGACCAAATTACAATGAGCAGAGCATAGTATGGCAGTCAACGCTTCGGCTCAACTTCATCGATCTTGAAAAGGCCTTCGCTAGCGTCCACTGTGAAGTAAATTTTCCGACTACTCCAGCACTATGTTATGCATTCCCACAAGCACTTATAAACCCCATTCAACATCTGTATGACGATGATGATGATGTCACATGGTGGTATGATAAACAACAAGGATCTCTGGCAGCGAACCAACAACAAATATTCAGAAGCAAACGGAGATGCATTAAATATCATAAGACTTTTGAAATGAACCTTTTTTTCGAAAAGCTGTTTACCAAAATCAAATAGTGTTAAACACTAAAGTGTTGAAACCGTAGAAGACGAACGACTTGGTAAAGAAGTGTTTATTTGGAAATTGGTATCTGTATATAGCCCAATTATGTGCACTTTATCTTCAAAGCACCATTTGCACTGGTCTTCGTGTTGTGGTACTTCTGGCCTTCATATTGTGTTTCTTTGTGTTCCTTTCACGTCTCCTATGTATCTCCACAACGCTGTATCATTCACCTTCAAATGTATCTCTCTGTTATTTGATGTTTTTATGCCTATGAACATCCATTGATAAATCGTATCAGTAGCAGTCGCCACAATCGTCTCCCCATCAAATGGTTTCGAACGAAGTCGTTCCGACCTTCTTGGTTCTACCCCTTCCTGTTGTACCTTGGTCCGGGCTTCCTTATCCCAGTTGGCTGACGTTAACCCGTTTCTGTTTATCTCCTCTTTTGATGGCATAAACGGGGCAACGTCTCTCGATGACAGTATATGGCCATTTCCACTTCGGGAGGAGTTTCCGTGAACGTGGTCGACATCTTATCGCTTCCTCTCTTTCTATACACTTTACTTGATCGCCAACCTCAAGGGTTCTAATTTCATGGGGTCCTGACGGTTTCTTTCCGTTCCGTTTGTAGTGTCGTCATATTCCACTCCTGGTGTATTGGTAGTCGTGGTTTCCTCCCATGCATCAACTGAAATAGTGACTTCTTTGTTGTTTCCTGGGCGGACGCACGATGTGCTAGTAGAATTAATGGAAGCTCTGTCTCTCAGTTACCTCCCTTCGAAGCCAGTCACTCCTTCAGTGTACGGTTATTTCTCTCTGTCATACCATTCGTTTGCGGATGATATGGTGTTGTTCTAATCTTCTTGATAACCAATTGTTGCAAATGGGAAGTGGATTCTTCGCCTTCAAAACAAGGGCCCTGATCTGTCAATATCGTCTTTGGTAAACCATGGTCTGCAACGGTGTGTCGAACTACTGCGTCTGTCACAGTTTTCGCGCGTTGACCATGGATCGCGACGGCGTCTACCCATCATGTAGCTTTCTCCGCCATCACCAAGAGGTACTGATTGCCACTGGATTTTACTGTTTATCTTCTTGAATGCTAATTTATCATTTTATTTATCTGCTTGTTTATTTAAAACAGGTCAAGCTATTTCCTTATTGGTCAGAGCTTACAACTACACTGGTAATCTGTTGTATCTACGGGCATGTTCTCGTTCACTAGACTTGTTTAATTTAAGCATAAGATATGGTGGTGTTCGTTCGTATTTTCTCAATCAGTCAGAATTAATATGGTTTGAAGAGTATCCATTTGATCCTCCTATTCATATACTGAATGGTTTCATTTATTCACTTATTGGATTGCATGATTTCACTCAGGTAAGTGCAAAATATGTTTTATTGTTGTAAAGTTTCCTAGGTTGAAATTGAGCACATTTATTGGAATATAATTAGTTAAGCAGCTTGGTAACATGTTTTATGTCGTCAGCTGCATAAGCATAAGGTAAAGATAGAAACGACTTCGAGTAACTTGGGTCATAGCGATACCGTAACAGTTTGGTTAGGTTTGATTAAATCGGTATTGATCATCACTATCGTAGACATTCGGCTTTGACAAGGATGTTAATTACTGGCAATGGGTGCAATGTGAAGATTGAAAGCTTCATTCATTGTACGTCGATGGCACAGCGGACCATGCACATGGTCCGAGGTTCGATCCCCTGCCGACGCGCACCTGATATCTATGGTCGGCCTGCTAAATTTGGGCTACCGATATCACATGCTGAAAATTTCATACTTGTACCAAAATGCTCTGTGGAATCAAGGTATAATAAAAATTTTTAAAAAATTAATGGAATTAGGGTAAATTAGAAGGAAATTCAGCGTATTTAGTGTAAAATATGCTGCCAAGATGTATAAGGACGTGGTGGAATTCACAATAATTAAGCAGCTAGTGCTATTTGTGATACCATGCAAAAGGTTGGTATAGAGAAGCCCTAATGTTGTTAGCTGTCCATCTAATCAGTACCACGGTAGCATTGGCAACGCTCCAGTACAGTGGACATAGAAAGATGTTATTACTGGTGATGTAGTCAGATAGTTACAAACAATAGGATTATATCAGTAATGCATTTAAAATGTCACCAATAAATAACACTAGCCTAGCCGTGTGCACGTTTTGTTTTAACAAATTAGCTTGAAATCATATTTCTGTATGCTCTACAAGTAACTTCACGTGACTGTTTTCAAATACTTAAACATATATGATATACTTATATTGTCCTACCAAGTTATTGGTTCATCCATTCATTTTAAAAGGCGTTCATGTTTTCATCACAATTGTTGAGGGTTTTGATGGCAGTCTAAGAAGTTTTCCTCTTCATTACAACCTATATCTTCTCTGAGCTAGTCGGGTATTTGTACACTGGTAGCTGTTAGCGAATATTCAATTGTACAAACAGTCGTACTTCGTGGTGAAGGTGTAGTGTGTCTAGAGAAAGAAAAGTCATCACTCCAGTCATTTACAACTTTTTGATTCATATGTATTCCAGTAGTGTGCTTATTACTCTAGAGTTTCATTTCATTCTGTTTGATTCCAGGTGGCAATGGGCAATTCAGATCCCTCAGTGTCTTCGGGTCTGTTGAAAGCGCAAGCTCTTTTAGATGCAGGACTCACAAGTTTGTCTAAATTGCTTCCACTATTCGATTCTGGCAGTGGCAGCTTCTATGATCTTCGTCATCTTTCAGCCGACTATATTCAACCTATGAAAGAAACTGAGCATAAGCAAGCCAAAAATACATATCAGTTGTCTTCCGGTCCTAACAGAGCTCGTTGGAGCTATCATTCTTTACACATTCAGCAACTACGAACTTTGATTGATTTAGATCCGAAACGAGCTGTTCAGTGGAGAAATACAGCTGTTCGGTGGACTGCTTATCTCAAGGGCTTTCAGTCCCTACAGAATTAGTTTGTTTATCGTTAACAACTTTGCTTTCACGAAATTTTTAAGAGTTTTCTTTTGCACAGAAATGCCGGTGATTTTCTAGAATAAAGCTTCATATTAATGATTGGTCAATCATATATGAATGTTGCACTAATCATGCAGATTTTACTGTTGATATATGCAATTCCATGCATTTTTTTCATAAATGATTTATGAATATTAGTCATCTTTTATATTTTTGTTGTTGCCCGTATTCATGTAATCAGTTAGACTCTTACAATGATATTAATATGATCTACATACTTCAGTGAACTACCAAGTATGAGAATGTACCCAAAATTGTTCATTTATATTATTATCATTGTTACATTTCTAATGGCTCAATTTTGATCTTATCCATGGCAATACAAGTAATATTTTATAGCGATTTCTTTATTTGGTACCTGATTCATTCACTTGAGAGTCATGTCACTGATCCGGAAAATTAGATATAATTTAGTGGCCCGAGGCGAAAAGTGATGCATTCTGGAAGATGTTGATATAAGAGGGTAGTAACAAAGTGATGAGTTGTCACAGATGATTGTTAGAGAAGAGTTATGTAATAACATGAATAGCTTGATGAAACAGTTGTGCTCACGGTGTACATAGAAACAAAATAACATACGGTATTACGCAAGAGTTTTAAGTAGTTACAAGAAAAATAAGCATACAAGCAAAAGTTAAGTCAAATTTTGGAAGATGTCAAAGGAGACTTTAGTTTCAGTGTTGAGATTTCGTCATTAATGAAACTGTTAGCACATACCCCCATTTTACTGTCGATCATTAAAGTGAGGTTCTATTCACACGAGGCCTTCAACACCACCTGACAATTTAACCACATGTGAAACATGCATAACTGTTTCAGCATGGAGTCTAGTGGATTGCTTAATGTCAGTGACTTCACAGAAACGACTCTTCTGCCGGTGTTTTCTAAATCGACAGTTAAGCAGATTGACTGCGGTCAGTACACTTGTACAAAGTGTGGTAATGCTCGTCACTGAGGGAAGTCACTGGTTTTTATCACCTAAAATGATGAATCTGAACAAACTGTTACATTACTTAGGGATAGGAAGGCGTGATAAGGACAGGATAATGTTAAGACTTGTCGATGGACACAGTTCAGTCCGTTGTAGCCTCCTAGCCAAACAATGTTCTACTCCGGTAATTGCTGTTGTGTGCGTGTTCTAAAACTAACATATGGCTTGAGATGTGATCAAAGTGTCCTTGTTTTGGCCTGAAATCTGCATGATTAGCTCCTCTGGAGCACCAAATAATCTTCGTATGATTACCGACCGTCGTATGGCGCGTCAAGTTGACCGCCTTATCATTGTCAATAAGTGTTAGACGATCTTCACCAACCCATTGACAATAACTTGGATTTCCACATGCTGTGGTTTCAAGACTAATGTAGCCAATGAATCCTTGCCATAACTCTTAAATAGATCTGAATCCAAGCAATCACTTTTATTCTCACTTAAGGCTAGGCATGGCGTCCTCAACTTCGGTAACATTTGGAGAAACAGTGCTTATATCCCATTCTGGCTAAGGACTGGATGGCAGGCAACAGTAGTTCAACTGTGAGCGAGTTAAACTGCTTCCCGACATTCCTGAAGAATCATCACCATGATCACATCATTCTCAAAGATCGTTCAACTACATACAGAATCTTCACTATCCATCTCCTTTATATGCCTAAATAACTGATGAGTGCCACACATATTGATACCTGCTCAATTCCCATCTCTTTCGTTACACTGCAGTGCTCATGTTTGTCACGCTTCGAGTCGGCCTACACTTAAGCATCTTTCACGCGACGTCATGGTTGGAGCCCACATAAATCAGTCCTTATATATGGATCAGTTTGAATGAGGCTACAGAAATCAACTGTCTTTAAGAAACTATTGGCTATGGACTATAAATTGTTTAGAAAATCGAAGCCAGGTTCTACTAGGATGCAAGTAATTCTGTTGAAGAGGCTGTGGCTTATGGGGCGAAAAGTCTGTTACGATGTTCTAAGCACTCTGGGATTATTTTAAATAATTTCAAACTGATTCAGCCTGACTGTAGTGCTGAACTCACTACAGGGGATTCGCGGTATCTATGGTCTAGATATTTACTGTCTTCATCAGTGTAGCGACAGCAGAGTGTAGCCGTGGGTTACTTATCGCTTTAGACTAGACATTCGAGTTCGAACAAGTGAGTCACGTGGTGGAAGTTTGCTAGATTTACCTACAGTTGGGTTTTGATTGTTTTGTTATGTTATTATGCATGTGCATCTTGACGACAATTAGTTAAATGGCTGAATACTGTTTTCTTCTACATTGGATGAATTTCACTGTAATGTTCTATTGAACGTCCAGCTGACTCCTCTCTAAATATATGTATCATCAGGAAGCTGAACAAATAAGAACTTCACAGATACTTGAATTTTATGTACATTCACGTCCACGGCCCAACTCATAGTCGGGGTTTCACGTAACGCTCACCATTTTCTTGATTTCCACTGCGATCAATATGTGTAGAAAGAGAGATAAAAATGCATAGCAGAGTTCCAACATCCTCCCATATTCTTATGGATATAGTCAGTTGAATAGTCTTCTATCCAATGGAATTCAGTCAACGAGTGTTTTCTTCTGTAGTAGATAATGCTATTTATAGTCCAGTGAGTTCAGGCCATCTAGCCTTCATCATCATCTGACACTAATTCAGGTGAAATTGATTGATGAACTACTACATCTTCCCCTGGGACTTGTGTTCCAGAGAGAAAATATTTATTCCAGTTAGAAGATGCCATTTTCTTCATCAAAATGACTGTTGTGTGTATCGCCTTAGGATTCAGAAGTTGAATGGCTTAATATGAAATGGGGATTGTGGTTTTAGTAGATTAATAGCGGTATTTTATACTGTAGCAATATTTGCGTCGAAAGGACTGAGTGAAAATCGGTAGTTGAGTTTGAAGCTAGTGATGATGCAAAGATGAACGTTGCGTGTTGATGGGGTTGTTTCAGCCCTAGTTACTTCCCAGCTATGCAAATGATGAAAGGTTCTCCTTTGGGATTGTTAGATAGAAACAGAATAGCCTTGGCTTGAACATATAAGCCAATGTACTTCTTTTTATTGTCAGTTTCGTGTGGTGGATTATTCGTCCCAGTTAGCATAGCTACGCTTACTCATCGTGGACTTGTTGGCAGAGAAATGGTAATAAGCTCTAGAACACAGAAGTCCTTTCTAGATAGTATTCCCACGGATAAGAAGCTATCGGATCAAATGGATCCAAAAAAATAAGGAAAGACGTTGACACTGAATGTATTCTCATAATCTTCATTTATGTACCAGATGACTGTAGCTTGGATGAAGTTTGTAAGCCTTACTGGGATCTATTGAGTTTGATACTAAAACAGAATGCGCTTATGTGGTCATATTAGAGAATATTTGTATATAACTTGCAAGGAAAGCTGAAACAATTGGTAAAACAGTCTGTGTATGCTTGGAGTCTGGCGCATACGAATGGGGTACGACGACTATCTGTTACACTTTTGTTCATGTAACCATCTGTTCATTTCGGGAAACAATAACTTCAGATATTGGAGACATGTTCTCACTTAGCGACAGCCAACAGATAAACAAACGCAATACTACTAAATTTATTCCAAAACAGTATTAATGTTACAGTGTGGAATTTTCAGCATTTTGTACAATATGGTATGTAGGTTATTTACCTAGAAGTTGTGGACCGAAGGGACTGGTTGAAGATTGTTGCCGCTTCAAAAAGCAGGAGAAATCCGAATGAGTTATTGTATACATATTTATGTAACTACTGAAATTAAAGATTAGAATTGTGACACTGACAGGATATAATGTTGTATGAGATAAGTTAATCTAAACTTATATAATAAGACTAAAGTGATTTTGCCTCCGTTGTTAAGTCGTGAACAAAAGTCTCAGATATCTTAAGAAAGCGTTGATCAAAATTTTCTGAACAAAAGTGCAGTCATCAAAATCCATCCATCTACGCGAAGCTTCGAAGAAGCACAACATGTATTTTATTTGATCACTGATTCAGAGATGCACAGAATTATCAATGTAGATCTCCCGAAAAAAGTGCATCATCTCAAATCACCACATTTTGTAGACGCATACATAAAGGTAGAGAAAAACAGTGTAATGAAACTACTTCAACGGACGACAATGTAAGTGAAGACAGCAGCTAAATGAAGATAAGGGGCTGAAACTTTTCGGGATCTAGAAGATGACACCGTGCGAATACATCTACGCTAACCTGAATGATTTTAAATCATATCACCTTAAGACTGCAACCAGCGATTCTTAAAGTCCTGAGGATCTCAGCTAAGCGCTTTATACCACTTTGTAATTGGGCGAAACCAGCAGCCAATGACTTAGTAGATTGGTGCCATATTCAGCCTGATTATCCCTAACTCAGCTCCGACCCAGTCAGACATTAATCAACCAGCATTACCTGTAGCGGAGTAGGGTGGTCGCGTATGAAAGTAATGTCGGTACTTCACAACCCCATATTCAAGGAAATCCCCTCTCTAACTGACACCTTACGACTAAAACCTCACAATTTTTTTCTATAAGGGGTACCTGATAAGCAACATCGACAATTTATATATACAAACACATCAGATTGACAGGAGTAGTAGATAAATGAAGGGAAATTGGTGAACTCCTGGAAAGAAGTTGGATACGAAATCACATTTGAAATGAGTGAGACTGGACTGAAGTTGGAGAAAAGAAATTTCAGTCATATGACGTTTCAGGGGAAGCCTAGTTAAGCCCTAAAAACGACAAATGACTGATCCTACCGAAAAAGGAGAAGTTGACCACATCGAAGCAAATAAGAATGTAAGCCAGTGGAATTTTTGTTTAAGGTTCAGTACAAACTGAAAAATAATTGGAGGTAAAAATCACTATAATATGCATTTTATACATAAGTCCAATTCAAATAGGGCAAAGAACGACGAAAAAACAATAAATTCCACAAAAATGTAATTAATGAATTCAATAGCAAAAATGAATTCTGCCTAAGCTCAGAAAAAAAGATAACCCATTTTCACGTACTAAATATCAGAGAGATATCAGACACAATAAACAGATATATGATGAAGACACATGCGAAGCAATTCACAACGGAAAGCTCGAAGAGTCGTTTGGAGTTGAGACAAGAGTAGGAGACACTGGATGACGAGACAGACTGTGGAGAGCGAGAAGACTAGCAAACACTGGATGGAGAAAAGAAACAATCTCGAAGATGTGGATTTCTCAGGTGGTCTATGTCTCATGTCTCACAATCTCGGAGATTTACAGGCGGAAACGAACAAGTTGGCAGAAGGCTCAGCGAAGACATGACT